TCTGGAGCTTGTTTAGCTTCTATAATTGCAACATTGTTGCATCAGGAGCTCAGAGCTGGGTGGCGGCAGTCGGGGAACCTTGGCTTCCTCCATCACTGGAGCAAGCAAGCCTCCTGGGAGACCTACTCTGGGAGGGGAGACCTGTCAGAACCCCAGATGCACCTCATGCAGCCACTTCCCTCAGAGCTCACTGTCCCCATCACCTTCGAGATGAGGGGGCAGCTTTCTCTGACCTCCCTCACCCCTCTCTTTGCTCCTGTCCATTCCTCACACCAGGTCCTGCACTGTCCCCAGGCTTTTCTCCATCCTACTGAACACCTTCCACAGCCACTTCCCTACATCAGAACCTCCCACCCTCCTGCTGCCTCCCCGAGACTCCTCCTCAGAGATGTGGTTGGGTTGCTGGTCCTCTCTGGGGAGGCTTGAGTGAGAGCTCAGTCACCAGTCACCTGCCTGAATGGGAACATTGGGTGCTCCTCTCCAGGGGACCTCAGCCCTGTCTCTTTTCTGGATGAGGCCCCTCAGCTTTCCTCAGTGGACAGGGACCCACCCTGTGCTCAGACTGGCAATGCTGAGGAGGGCCAGTTATACCCTGCAGGCAGGTGTGGACAGAGGGGATGGAGCTCACTAGGATGACTGAGTTGTGAGAAGAGCTGAGGCCTGGGGAGTAGAGAGGTCAGTACCACTGGTGAGTCCCATAGGCACTGGATGTTGTATTCTAGCTTAGGGTGCCTCCAGAAGTTGTGCAATCTTTGCTCACTGTGCACAGCTGTCCACATGGAGTCAGGAAGAGGGTAGGGGCAGCTTCCTTCCAAGTGGGGTTCAGGGATGTGCAGTTCCCTGAGCCCCTGAATAAAGGGAGAGCCTAGAAGGAGAGCCTCCTGGACCCTGAGAGGTTCAGGGGAAAGACAAGGACAAGCGCCCAAATGGCCAATCTCTGCAGGGATGTCTGGGTATCCAGGACCCCTGTTGCTTAGTGAGGTGAAAGCCACACCCTAGAGACTGAGGATTGGGGTTGCTGCCCAGGAGGGCAAAGCCTGAAGGAGCTGGAATAGGCATGGAGGGTGTGAGATGGCCCATGACTTTGGGGTTCACCTCTAGCATGAGTCCGCCTGGGCTGCTGTCCCCTATGAGCAGGTGTGCCGGGATGCATCTTTCTGTGGCGATGGTGAAACCTCATGTGGAGAGAGATCTTGTCCTGCATGGGTTCCTCTATCGTTGAGTCTCAGCCCAGGTGGTCCCTGTCCCTAGAGAAGAATCGTGTCCCTGATTCACACATTGCTATTTAAGAGGCACCTCTCAGGTAAGCTGATGTGTGGTGGGGTCTATAGATGGGGATGGAACCTGCCTGGAGACTGTTATTTCCCTCCAGGCTTCACCTTGTCCCAGGGTCTCAGTGTGAGACCTGGGCTCTCTGATTCCTCCTCCCACCTCTGAGAAGGATGATGTGGACAAACTGCTTTGTGTTGAGCGCATTTCATCTCAATCTTACCTCCTGTCTACTCTCATTGTCCATGTCAGAGTCCAGGCGCCATCCACATGACCCCATGCAGGAGGGACAGAGCTCAGATTCCTGTGAGCTAATCACATGCTCCCACTGGTCATTTCACAGCCACTGCCCATCCTCTGAGGAACTCGGTGTTGCCTCCACTGTGGAGATGGTGCAACTGAGACCAACCAGAGGTGGGTTCTGGTGTGGAATGTGATCTTGAGTCAACAATACTACTGACAATGTCAGTTCACAGTTTTAAGCATTTATTGACTCAACGCAAATCTTCTAAGGACTTTCCACCTTTGTCATTGACTATTCACAAGGAACCTATTTAGAAAGTGCATCATGGCCATAATTTTCAGATAAGAAAAAATTTATCAGTAGTTGAGCACCAACCTATGAACCAGGAGATCACAGTTCAATTCCCAGTCAGGACACATGCCCAGGTTGGGGGCTCAATCCCCAGTGTGGGGTGTGCAGGAGGCAGCCGATCAGTGATTCTCTCTCATCGTTGATGTTTCTATCTCTCTATCCCTCTCCCTTCCTCTCTGGAATCAATAAAAATATATTTTTTAAAAAGAAAAAAATTATTCAGAATTTAATAGCATAGAGGAGGGGAGGAGGGTTACCCATAATACACATCCAGCCTGAGGGGCTCACTTTTGCTGGAACTGATGGGGTTGAAGACCTCACACTGATAACCCCCAGCGTCCTCCCTCCTGACGGGGTCTATGGTGAGGACGCTGTCGTCCCGGGACAGCTTCATCCTGCCCGTGAGCAGGAGACTCTGGTTCTTGAAGAGCCACCGGATGGAGATCCCCATGTCATTTGTGAGGCAGGTCAGGACCACGGCGTCCTTGTGCTCTGTGACTGTGGCATTGCTGGCTCGGATGGAGGGCTTCCCCACTGGCTCTGTGGAGAAACAGAAAAGGTGACTGACTTAGAGTGTACTCCTTCCTCAGAGACCTCAGCTACTCACAGGGCCACAGTGATCTCTATAAAGGTCACCAGAAGATGGCCCCAACCTCTGCAGGATGAGTATTTTGTTCAGGTGACAATGTGTAAGAGGGGGCTGCACCTCTTCTCTGACCCCAGATCACCCCAGGATGATGCCTGACCTGTCCCCATGGACATCTTTATATCAACACCAGGAACACCTTTTCAGCTCATGTCTCCTACAACCTCATTCTCAGGTGGAATTTTTTCTGAGTAGGGCAAGCAGGAGCCAGTCAGCATGCAGGGTCAGGCTGTGTCCTGCAACCTCAGCCCATGTGTCCTGCAACCTTATTCTCCTGTGGAATTTATTTTTACAAACATTTTGATCCTTTTCTAGAACTTTCTTTGATTTCAAAGGAGATCAGCCCCTGCTCCTCATGTAAACTTCATGCATGTTGGGGAAGGGAGGTTTACCACCTCTGTCCATTTCTGGGGTCAGGGAAACTTTACAGAAAGTGGAAAGGCATTTACCTCTTGTTAAATAATTTATTAGGCAATAAAAACAGCCCAACCCAGTTTTCATGACCTTGGACCTGGAGAGGTTCCATCTAAAGGATTTATTTCTCAATCTGAACAGGACTTTACTTCCTGGTCTGTGATTGGATATTGCCATGAAGGACATCTCTAGAGAGAAGAGGTTTTAACAAAAGGCAGAGACTGTAGGAATAGAAGAAAATTATTTGATATGCTAAAGGCCACACATGAAAGCTCACAGCCACACAACTCTCTGTGGAGAAACTCGGAAAACATTACTAAGGTCATGAACAAGACAAAGATACTGCTTTCACCATTCCTGCTCACTACAGTACTGGAAGTTTGGCTGGAGCAATCAGACAAGAAGATGGAATAAAAGGCATACAAATTGGAAAGGAAGAAGAAAAATTATGTCTTTTAACAGATGACATAATTTTAGATGTAGAAAACCCTAAATATTCCACATATAGGGGGAAAAAAGACCTGTTAGAACAAATGAATTCAGTGAAGTTGCGGAAGACAAAAATCAACATTCAGCATCATTTCTATTTCTTTACAACAACAATGAACAATCCCAAAATGAAATCAAGAAAACAGTTCCATTTACAATAGCATCAGAAATAATAGAATACTTAGGAATAAACTTAACCAATACATGGGAGATGTACTGTATACATGGAAAACTACCAAACATATTTGAGAGGAAACAAATAAATGGAAAGACATCCATGTTCATGAATTGGAAGACCCCTCCCCCACAACTACCTACATATTAGATGTAATCCCAGTCAAAATCCCAATGACTTTTTTTTTTTTGGCAGAAATAGAAAAATCCTTCCTAGAATTCATATAGAATTTAAGGGTCCCCAAATGGTTGCAACAATCTTTCTTTTAAAAGAAGGATAAAATTGGAAGTCTCATACTTCCTGATTTCAAAACCTACTAAAGAGATATAGTAACCAAAATAGTGTGTCACTGGCATAAAGTCAGACATATAGTCCATGTAATAATACAATGGAGACCCAGAAATAAAACCTCTATTATGTGATCAAATGGTTTCAATAAAGGAACCAAGGCCATTCAATGGGAAAAGGACAGTCTTTTCAACAAATGGTGGTGAACAACTTTATCCACATGCAAATGAATGAAGTGGACCATTGTCTTACACTGTAAACAAGAATTAATTCAAAACGGATTTAATTCTAAAGGTGGGACCTAAAACTATAAAACCCAGAAGAAAATATAGGGGGAAGCTTGATCACATTGGATTTGGCAATGATTTCTTGAATATGACACTAAGAACACATGCAAAAAAATAACCTAATAAACTGGACTTTATAAAAATGAAAAACTGTTCATCAAAGGACACAATCAACAGAGTGAAAAATGGCCTATGGAATGGGAGAAAATACTTTGCAAATCATATACAGTAGGTCCTCGGGTTACATCGGAGATGCATTCCTACAGCGTGACGTAACGTGATTTTCGCCGTAAGTCGGAACCCACCTACATAAGCACCTACGTCACTCACATGGAGCACATACACAGCAGTAATGAAGTAAAACAGTAAAAAAAAATTTAAAAGAAAGATAACAATTCCTGATCCACATACACAGTAATGAAGTAAAACAGTAAAAAAAAATTTAAAAGAAAGATAGCAATTCCTGATCTTTACCTGTGCTAAATAAATAATAATAAACATAAAGCATATATGTACATACGTTGAAATGACGGAACTTTTTAAATATATAAATAAATATATAAAAATTTTTATGAGATGGTGATGTAACCATGAATGACATTCGTCGAGTCTGGCGTAACCCAAGGACTATCTGTATAGGATGAGGGGTTAATGTCCAGAATATATAAAGATCTCCTACAAAAAAAAAAAAGATCTCCTACAACTCAACAACAACAAAACCAAATAACCAGGGTTGAAAAATGGGCAAAACACTTGAATAGACATTTCTCCAGAGAAGATATACAACTGGCCAATAAGCCCAGGAAAAGACGCTCAACATCACTATCACCAGGAAAACACAAATCAAAACTCTTGGGGTTGAAGTTGTTGGTAGTGATGTTGAGTGTGGGTAACTCTGCTGTTCAGGTAGCAAAGAAATCACTGCTCTGTGTGGTACCTTTGTTTCCTCCAAAGGCATCAGAGTTGGACCTCTCCACTCTCAGCCGCTTAAGTCCTCATAAGAGTAA